GTTATTTTTCCTTCTCCAGGAAATCTCTTTTTTTTTTTAGTTTGTTCATTAGTTCATTCTTTTTTTAATTAATTTTTGTCCGTTTCTATCAGTGGGAAACATCTCGGGTCATGTTCCCTTACCAACCAGCTCTCACTTGAATCAAGAGCAATGCAACCGACACAAGGAAAAGATGCATTCTTCTCATCCCTTACTGGGTTTATTACTTGTATGCATTTCCCACTTTTTGCAATCTACACCAGATCACATAACTCAATCAGTTCGGACAAATTGAAATTCATGGTATTTCCATGTGAGATGGTTAATTCCCCATAAAAAAATACCCCATATGCGAGCAGTGCCATCTTCTGAACCAGTGACAATCTGAAACGCAACCAGTATTAAGGGAACACAAATAACAGAACTTAAACAAAGAAGTTTTGAAAGACAATTTTGTCATCACTTCCAATGATAAGCCAAATTCATGTCGAATTTTGACACTGGTTGTTAAGAATATAAGCCTCCGACATAAAGGTCTCATTACACAGTTTTTATAGGTATTTGTTGCAGCTCAATTGTTGTTTCAGCTCTTTATATATATATATAATAATATAATGCATGTTTACATGAAAGGATGAAAACACTACTAAAATATAAAAACTCATGTTTCTACACATGAATTATATCTAAAAGCTATCATAAAGGTAGTACAATATGTCAGCGACAGAATAGAAAAACTGAAGGATGTCTAAACAAATATTTCCACACTGGTCCACATTCCAATGAAAACACGTTGTCTCAAACTTCACTTGAGGAGGCTTGAAAGGTAATCGAGGGCAAAATGTAAAGAGAGCATGTAAGAGAGGCCGTCGTACATGGTTCTTTTTCTATCTTCAATAGTTCCAATCCAGTTACATATTCAGTAAACGCAGAAACTCCAAGATGTCCCCACGTCATCTATATGAAATAAGTTACTACTAACAATTACAATGAGATAAAACAAACAAACAAACACACACACACACACATAATACACAAAGTTCGCTACAGATTAAATTTTAGATAAAATCTTAAAAATGTGGAAAGAGTAGACAACCTTAGATAGGTTCTGACATATTTTAACAAAATTGTAAAGAATGTTGTCTGGTTTCTTCTCTAGCCAAGTACGAAAGAGCATCCTTGCCATGTAAAAAATACCTGCTTACTGAAAAGAAAATTCGATGATAAAGAAACAAATTTGAAGAGGGGTTATCAATGGAAGTTCACAAACCTGAAATTCACCCGTTGCTTGTAAAATTGCTCTATGAAAAGCACCAAATTTTGAGATTCTCAGCCCTTCGATCTCCATCACGGTGCAAAAATCTCGTAGTCAGACGCTGACCTCCATCTCCAATATCCAACGGCCCTCAGGTCCTTCCTGAACACCAAACCCTATGGTCGATCTATCTTGCGAGAATTTTTGGTCACCTAAAGTTAACACAGAGCCCTGTAATAAAACCATCTGCTCTACCAGAATTTTACAAAAATCAAATGAATTGTCCCTCACAAACAGAAGTGAAGGGAAGACAAAAATTATATGAACAACGAACATAACTTTATCATGAAAAATCCTCAACAATTTCATTTTCCAACGAAATTCAGCCAGCGCCGAAAACATAAAAATAGACCCACTTCAAATACAAAGCCAGGCTAACAACAAATTTAGATATTCAAAAGAAAAACAAAGAAAGGAGAACAAAGGGTACCTGTAACGACAGTTGTAGTGTACAATGTCAGGACTGAGCCTGACCCTGAGATTACTTGGGCCGGTCGAAAGGATGCCCTCCCTTCACCGCTGCTCGATCTCACACCCTTCCATGCCGCCTCCACCGCACATCGAAACACTGAGCAGCCATCTACCGTTGTTGTACAAATCACTCATCGTTATTATTTGTTAAGATTACTTTCATACTAAACGAAATTCTGCAACTCATTGGTCCCGTACCAGATCAAACAAAAAAAAAAGAAAGAAAGAAGAAATAAAAGAAGCAGAAAAATCAGCTCGATTTGAAAACTGAAAAAACCCAAATGAATCTATATATATATAATTACTAGCTAATGCATTTAATAAAATATTTAATAAAAAAATATTTTCATTTCCCTCCATAAGGAGTTACAGTTTTTTAATTAATTACTCTAAAACCGTTACACCTTAATATATATATTTTTATTATTTATTTTTTAGATCAATTACTAAATTAATTCTAAATTTGGTAACAAAAAAAGTTTAAATGTGTAAAGGCTAATGTTGTAACTTAAAGTTGATTGACACATTCAGAGCTGTAACCGCTATATTTGGTTGTATTGTTGGAAGAAAAATATGATTGACACATACTTTTTTTTCTTTCTAAAAATCAGAAACACAAATAATTATTTTATTTATGTTATTTTCTTAATATATGCCATAAATATATAAATTATTTTATTCATGTTACTAATGTAAACGTTGCATGGTTAAAATAAAATTTAAATCTCAATTAATTTTGAATGATAAAAATAACTTAAGAAAAAATAACTTAATAAATAAAAAAAAACGTGTTTTATATATGTGCAAATGCACATGATTAAATACTAGTATATAGGAAACATGCATGAAAAAACTCAAAAAAGACATCAGGATTTTGAAAATTTAAATATGAAAGTCAGAGGAGAAAGATGAGATCGTAAGAGACGTATGGCTGGAATGAGAACACAGTGTGAAAAGAGACTCAATGGCAACTCCTTCAACAAGCCTTCTTATTCTGAAAGTGGTATTTAGACCAGCATTTGGTCTAGCTATAACAGTCACTTTTATAATCGAGACACGCCGCTTTTCTTCCGAACATCCTGCAATAATAAGATCATGAAATAAAACAAAATCAGTAGGAAAGAAAGCTCAAATACAAATAACTTTTTTCCATGGAGGTTATCAATCCCTACTTTCAGTTGGACAATATATCCAGACTTTATATCAGGTATTGCTTGGTTTGTTTTCACTTCCTCAATGACTTATTTATCATTTATTTGCAGTTTGGAGAGCAAAGAGATTCATGTAAGGACAATAAAAGGTTCTAATATATCACGAGGAATTGAGGGTCAAGAATGGAACAGAAAGAGTAATGCAAAAACTAAAATTTGTACTTATATGATGTGCCCGGATGTTTTATCGAGCCTCTTGAATTTGATGTGCTGGGTACATACCCCTACGGATCACCTAACAGCAGCAAAGAAAAAATAATTAAAATCGGGTCTGCCAGCAACACCGCCGAAACAACGGCAGATACATCTGTAACTGGCAACATCCATAATTCGCAACCAACACACAACCTCTTCAAATTGAAAACAAAAAAATAAGATCGAAAAAACCCAAAGAACAGAAAACAAACGACCGCATACCTTTCAGTAAAGTCCCTATCCAGTGCATATAATTACTGCAGGCAAGAAAATTTAACACTCTAAGGGGTACTTGGTAATTCAGAAGATGAGAGATAACATGTCTTTCTCTTATGTAATTAGACTAAAACAAACATACAGTTACTTAATTATCCACACCAGTTGTGCCAGAAGACGAAAAACATACATTTTTTAGGGCATTAGTAAAGCAATCTGAATCTATAACTATAAAGATTCGAACTTTTGATTCTTACTTTGGAAAGAAAACCTCTTGAGGCTACCAAGTAATTGTTGACTTCATGGCCTAAAGGAACAACCCTCTCATCAACCCATAACATCACCCATTTTGACCATTCCTTGTATAGAGACACTACAAGCTTCCTGCAACATTAAAAAGAAAACAACATTCACACCACAAGAAAAGCAAGTTACAGTCTGGTATCTAAAAGCCTGTGGGACATTAGATACTAAACAAAACAGAACCTCTGCATTTATGTATCACATCTGCTAACATGTAAAATTATTTAATTATGAATGTACTCTGCTTTTAAATAAACATATTAACATTGATTGAGCGGGGCTTAATGTAGTGAATTAATGCAGCTAAGGAGATTCAAACCATTCAAAGAAATTATTTTCACCTCGACCTTCTTGTAATAATCATATATATCATCAATGTACTCGGTGACTGCGAGCGGGTTCATGTTATTAACACCAACAATGTCCACCACAGCCTCACTCCCATCAATGTCTTCCATTTCAACTTCCACATCCTATTAACTAAATTTAACAACCATAAAGAAAGTTCATACTTAAGAAATAGTTCACAATACTGCATTTTTTAAGTATAAATTGAATACCATCAATTTTGTCAAGAATAGCTTCTGTATGTTGCACAAACATGGGCACTTCATGATCGCCCGTGGCCTTGTGATCCTCTTCATCTATTGCATCCATAATAATACAGTCCTCCAATTGGCATGCGAACGAATTTGACTGCACGATTTTTATGCCGAACAAGAGATAATCTTCACTAATTCTACGGTTATTTCCAGGTTTTTTAGGCTTAAATTTCTTCTCTTCGCAATGTTTACATCTTATCTATATCCAGTTTCAGAATATGATATGTGTGATTTATAAATACCTCAAGGGAATGTACCTTTGCCGCCACTTGTGCAGCAAACCTCCTGAAAGAAACCAAGAACGAAAAAAGTTTTTTTCAAAGTACATTCACAGGCTCTCGAGCTTTTTCCCCAGATCAAGAAAGCGAAAAGAATACAAATAAAGAAAGGCAAGAAGCTTGAATTTACAGAATTCTACATACTCTTTCAGAGCCCCTCATTTTACAGCAGCACAAGGGTGAGGAACAACTTCAACTATGTTGGAATCAATTGTACTCAATGCCCTTCTGTTATTCCCAATACGTTTTTGGCCTCCTTGCAACAAACACCCTAAAATTTGTCCAATTAGAAATAAAAATGTGAAATTTAATCAGACAACCTTTACATAACTAAGATTTTATGTTGTAACTCATAGGAAATAAATTCAGATTTGAACAAATGTAGAAATCTAAATGAAAAGGAGACATATAAAGGGCTGATTTAGAGTACCTTAAGTTTTTGAAGATCTGATCAAACCCGAAAAGTTCTCTTTTGACGCGGCCATCAGTAGTCTTCGTACAAGTCTTCCGAAAAAATTCCAAACATAAAAAATTAAAGGACAAACAAATAATCAGATTCAAGGCGAAATCAAGACCAACATATCACAATTCAATAGGGCAAAAGGAAAAAAGGCAACCTCAAAATCAAGAAAATCAGAAGAAAAAAGAAACCCACATTACCTCTGTAAATTCACTCAAGAATCCGATAGGATTTGAGAAAGACAACAAAGAAAAGAGCCCTTTAGGATCAATCGATGGAGGATCAAAGGGGAGTTCAAAAAAAGAAATATTTCTCTCTCTATCCTCTCTCTCTCTCTGTGCCCGACCACTGCTCTCGTGAACTACCTTCATCTGCCTTATCCTGCCGCGCCGGTGCTCGGCTTCTAACCGCCGCGTCAACCGTCGTTGCCAGAACTGTACCATCGTCGTTGGCTTCATGTGTATCTCTAAATGATCGAACTCCTGCGGCCATGACTGTGGGTGTTCAATCTGCGGACCACAAATACAAAAACTAAAATACTTTACAGCAGAAGCTCAAGGAATCCTTAAGAAAATCAAAACTCGTTTTGCAAAATTAGAATCGAGAAAAACCTCGGTGAATTGATTATCCTGACCTTAGGATTGTTGGGCAAGATTCTTCTTTTTCGGTTCGCCTTTGTCTCCGGTTGGAAGGTCCGGCTGCTGACGGGTGGCAGCGTGTCCTCCACATCCATCAGCCCCTGACGCGAGCTGTCGTCCCGTACCCGTACCCAGATCCGACAATTGGTACATTTTCAGTTTGTTTTTTCTTCAGTTCGAACCCAAATCTCCTTTTCCTCGACCTGCCGTCGTTTTCTATGGAACCGTCAAAGATGGATTTCATCTTGGAAAGAAAAGGGTTTTAGATGGAAGAGAGAATTTTTGTACAGAGAGGAGAAAAAGGTTTCATGGGAGAAGAAATCGTATTAGAAAATTTTGACGAATTTTTTTGCTTCAAAACTAAGCCACCGCCACACTCTTCCACCACTGTATTCAATTTGGTATTTGACCGACTTGATTGTTACGTGTAAGAGGCGGCCTTCAGCAGTAACATCAAATCAAATGAACAATTACGGTGTCAACCCTTCAAAGTAAAGCCATCTAAGGGTCAATTCAGTCATCCACAAGAGTTCAAAGGCAATTCTAAAACAAACAAGACACGTGTCGGCTCCTAAAGACAATGAAAATGGACACTTGAATTGGTTTAACTCGTTCATATATATATGAGAGACTAGTTGGGTTTACGCTGTGCACGCAAGTCGGCCTCAAATTCGGTCTAAAATACACTAAAAAATTTGGCGTATGTTACAGTTGTTCACATATAATATGCCTGTTCAGTTGACAATTGACCGATCTATTTTATAGATAATAAACTAATTTACAACTTTTACAATGGCACCCCTCTTTATGTCGTGCACGCACAATGGACTAAAATTTAATCTGAAAATATATTGAAAATTTGTCGGCACTTGCAATGATTAGTGTAATTGATCTTCAATTTAAATTATTTAATGAAGTTTTTATATGACCAATGTGATAACAAAAAGGATAAATAACAAGAAGGGTTGACAAGAAAATAGAGAGAGCTTTATTACATTATTGTATTCTTGCAGGGTCACTAGCAGCATCTTTCTTCATTATGTCGAGAACTCTGCATTACATGCAATCTAATAAATAATTGTACTACTAAGTATGTGTGAAGTTAATTTACACGCCTCAGAATTACAATTAGCCCCTAACATTTACTTGTGTGTTACAGAAGTGAAATCAAGAGAAGCTGCTTGTAAGGTAAACACAGATCTTTAAGGGACTATAAGATAGTGAATTCATAAGTTATTAGAATAAATATAAGACATTACATTTTTCTATAATTAACCAATATTTAACAACACATTCATTCTATCATCAGTCAGTTTGTCTGTGTCAGAGCATACCTAGCAGCAATGCCCGAGTAAACATCAGTTGGCTTATCTCCAGCAATAAAATTAACTGCAGCTGCTCCCAACTAATTAAACATGGGGCAATATTACATCAAAAGTAACTCAGTTTACTAAGAATCAAAATATCATCCTTTCAGAATCATAACAAAACAAAGAAATGCATGAGAATTACTGTGTCTAGACTTTAGATATCACTACGTCGTCCAAATTTAATGAATAAGTATTACATATATTAAAGACTAACAATGAGTCTATTACCTTGTCCCTCCCAGAAGCAGCATAGTGTTGCAAGCCATTACACGAGCCATCCTAGAAAAATAAACATAGATGGAGCAATGCTATTTGCATCACATACTAAAACTAATAACATGACCAGCATAAATTTACCAATCATAAGAAAAAACATATAGAGAAACTCGAAATGTAAGAAATCTGACTAATAAGACTTACATGAGTTTTTGGGGCTCATCTATCTTGCTTTCAGATATATCTGTTTTATCAGACCTTTCCAAATCTTCTATCTATCATGGTTGAATCACACAATCCCATAAAAATTTTTCAACCCATTGTTCTCAACTCTATACATTTTTACCACGAATATTGAAATAGCCTGTCTTTGGCATTCACCAAGTACTTCAAGCTTTAGGGTGTCTTCTTGAGTATGTTTACTTACCTTTTTGGAATATACTCAAGCCATGGGACATGCTAATTCAAGAAAAAAAAAAGTTAAAAGCATATTTTTAAAAAAATGCGTGGGGTTTAATATTTTCAAGTACACATTTACTGCTTACAAGCAGAATGATTCCCTAATGGCTGAATGTAGTAAGCAATTATTTGAGCTCGGCCTAAGTTCACCAGGTCACAGAACCAAAATGAGACCCAACACTGCTATTTCTTGCATTAAATTATAAAAAAGCCAAAGAAAAAAATTGAAAAAAGTAGAAAAAAAGAAGAGAGCGAGACAGTTGGTTCAGCCTGGCTGCAAACTGCACCAGGAAAACATGAGCATAAGGCAAGCAACTTGAAATATACATATCCAGGTTAAGGTTGATAATTTTCACATAGTAACTCACAGTTACATAATAAAAGTAAATTGTAAAATCAAAGATAATCACATGTTGACTGGTGAGGAATGATTTCATAAAAATTGCTGTTGAATTTACCTTGACAATCAACAGGCCTCCTAACGGACCAGTAACATCTCGTAAGCCCTGATGCAAAAGTTTATTAAATGATTATCTGAAGGATGATGAAAAAAGAAAATCAGTGTTTTCTTTAAAAACAAAAATGGTTTATTGTAAGGGGAAGTTAACATACTGCAAGAATGGAGAGGAGAGGCAAAAATATTACCACATATTGCAGCCGTCAACATTCCTTCTCTAACAAATCCGACATGAGCCGACTCATGGCCACTTTACCCTTCTGCATGTTTGCAAACCATGATCAGGTTCAGTAGAGTCTTAATTTGGTTATGCACACAATATTTACATGTTCAGTAAACCGTTTCTTCAGTAAGCTCAACAATTTCACGTACACAATTACAACATTCATATGGAGACAGAGAAGAGCGTATTATTTATGCACACTCACCATGTTCCATGACGATCTTCAAAAAAATCAAAGCAGACAGTTTTGGCTGTGTTGCTTGAAGTTCCTAAGTGTATAATCTTTCGCAATTTACACCTACTTTGTTAAATCTAGTTGTGCATGGTCTTTTCTTGCAATAGTATAATTAAGTTGAATATATGGTTTGGATCTGCGAGATAGTTCAAGAGATTTTAATTCTAAGGGTGCTTCAAGCGAGACTATAACAATTCTCACGGTCACCCTTATGAAAATGAACTTTCATTTAATTTTATAAGTAAAAATAACATAAATATATAATGGTTATCCGTTAATTATTGATTTGATTTAAATAATAAAAACATAATACCAAACAAAACCTTTGTCTAGAAATAAATATATTGATTAACATAAGATTATTAAGCGTCGCAGATATACCTTTTAGAAAAGTATTTGTATTCTCTTCGAGTGAGTTCTGCAAGAAAAAATATAACATATAAATAGAACATATTTCATCTGAGGGAAAAGAACCTTAATACTGATTCCTTGACGTTACTAAAGAGCTACAGATCTGGTGAACTAAACTATTCACCCTGCGAATTGGTGTCTCGTTAGCCAGAAATAAGAGAATTATGGTTACACACAGAAATTGACAGCACAAAGCGTAAAAATCACATTTGGAACTTCGTAGTTATAACAATATAATCATAAAAGAGAATAAATTTAATAATAAGAGTACAGGGCTGGCCATTTCACCCACCAGAACCATCCAACCAAAACCACATACCAAAAGATAAGACACCCATGAAATGCAAGCCCAACAAAAAACAATAAGGAAAAGAAAACGAACAAAAAAGCTATAATCTTTAAGACCATATTCATAACTGACCAAAAAGATTCAGGAATAATCACTATGGCTCTTGGTTATGGCACGCACATTCTTAGAAAGCAATTCCTGGTGTTGGGAAAAGAAAGAAGAAAGAAAATAAAGAAACAAACAACAATTTTAGATCGTTAAACTCAATAATATTTCGATGTGAACAATAAAACTGAACTTTTTTTCGCTTCACGAAAAATGAAAAATTTTAAAATGATAACAGGCAAAACAAAAGTTTTTCTCTTCTAAAAATATCATCTATCTCACAATAATGCAATCATCAAATATAGAAAGCAGCCCACCAGAAAATTCAAGCGTGTAAATAAACCACAAATTTCATTTATGTACCTGCGGGTCACTTTCCTCGCGACATAGCTCATGCGCTTCACGACAGTGGAACTGCCGGAGTGAGGCGGCGGCGCCTTAGGCGAATCTTCTCTCTGCGAAAGAGGTTGGAGACACAGAAGTACTTGAAACATCGACAGCGGCCGCCGGGTGCAGAGCTAGCCCTTCTGGAAACTAATTTTTAGTGCTCAAAATCAAAAGCACACTCGTTCAGAACCATAATTCAAAAAGCAACATATAGATTGATTTGGGCATGATAAGCTATGCATACAACGACACAAAAACAAATAGACATGTGCAATCAAAATAGCATTTACCTATGCAGCTACCATTTTTCTTCACAATGGATGCATTCAAATAACAATACTTACTACGTTTCTTATTCACCATAACTAAACCAGTTCTTGCTTGCTTTTCTAATAAATTACCACAAAAAGTACAAAGTCTTACGAATCTGCCCTCACATTCTTCAGCAGCAGGCTAAACAAAACATCCAACAACTAGGGAAAATCAAAGGAAATAATACTCTAACAGTTCATCTGCTATTGCTATTCTAATTTTAGTAAATAAACCACAAAATCAATTAATTATTTGTTTAATCGAAAATTATTATTGTGATATTATTACTTCCATTGTGTTCTTCCTTAAACCTATATCTATATGCTACAATCATTCAATATTTTGAAGTGCAAAAAGACATTTGAGGTCATAATTGCAAAATTCTATGTAAAACATGAAATTTTAAG